TACTAGTAATAAATTCAAAATATGCAAAAGTCTGTGTTTTATCTAAGAGAGTTGAGAGTTAAATAATACATCTAAAGGAGATTATTATATTTTTTCCTACATATTTAATATCTAAAAATAATAATATAAACACTATAATTTTTTATTTATATTAATAATAAATGTGACATAGGTTTAAGGCACGTTACAATAAAAAAATACTGATATTTAAAAATCGTTCTTGATAAAGAATTTAAAAAAAAATGCACTAAAACATTTTAGGTTTCTTTCGATATATTGATAGTACAAAATGTGGGAATTAAATAATTATAATAAAGGCATTGGAATCCAAAAAAAAAAAACAAATTGGAATCCTTTTGGAAAACTTTAAATTTAAAATTATTTAATAAAATTCAATGAAATTTCATGAAATTTAACTTTTATTACTAAATTTTATCTTTGGTTAAAATATTGATTCCATTTCAAAAACGCTATTTTCCGGTATTTTCCAGCCTTGATCACATTTCAAAAATTTCCAATTTATTCTATTTGCTATAAAAAAACTAGTGGTGTTTGGCAACGTGCCATAAACCAAATTGCTGAAACTTTTCGACGTTAATTTAAAATTTTGAAAATTTTGAAAATGTGTCGAAAGTGTCGAAAAAAATTATTTGACTATATAAGCAAACTTTAAATATTATAAACATTGGTACGGAACCCAAAAAATTGGGTTAAAAACTTTAGACTTATTATTGAAATCTCTATAAAATATCTGATATTTGATATGCTTATGTTTAATGATCATTTTTGGCCGCGAAATGGCATGTTCTTTCAACTTATTTATGGATCTCCAAAACCGATAGACCTGCCTTTACATAAAAATTTATTAATTCTTCATTCCGTCAATACAAGTGAAATGTTTTTAGAATCATTCAAATCGGACGCTCCGTTCTCTCAAAGACTGAATTTCCTTTTTTGGCAATTTAATGAGAATTGAATGTTTTATTGAATCATTCAAATCGGTTGATCCGTGCTTTTTAAATCGACGACAAAAATTTATATCCATACGCATGCACACATACACACATAGATACAACATCCATTTTTTTAAGGTGTGCCAAAATGTTGAGGAGGCTTGATATACAATTTTTTTTATTTCGATTTTTTTTTACTTACTCTACGGGAAGTTAAAAATTGTAATGTAGGGGAAAAGTACAACAACTTTCCTTGTATTATACATGAAAATCATTTTTACCGAAGATTTAGTGAAAAGTTTCAAATAAAATTAACTTTTTGTCAAGTAAATTCAGTTTTTACAGTTGATTCACCAACTGTTGATTGAAAAAGTGTACCATCGCAAATGTTTTTTGCAGCCGCCTTTGTTTCTCAAAAACAATAATGTGTTCCATTAATTATCGTAAATTTCAGTAACAATAAACAGTTGTTTATATATGTCGGTTTCTATGTGTCTGCCTTTGAAAACAAAATAGAAATTAACATGTAACGGAAATGAGACGCGCATCATAAAGCACATAATTATAAATGATTATGCAATCAACTGACTAATAACGAAAATGTTCCGTACTCTGTTAATGAGGTTGTGCACCC